CCTATTGTGGAATTCCTATAAAAGCCGCTTTTGAAGGAAAATATATCGCACGTTTTAAATAAATCCCAGTCTGTTTAGGCCTATACGGCTATACGTCGCGCAGACCTAGCCTAGTACTCCGTTCATTTTAACGATTATAACTCCACACACACACACACACACATACATAAAAGGTGAAGTAGTTACGGTTATTTCTTTCTAGTCATCATTATAATGTTGCAGTGCCGTTAGTTTGATTTGAAAGCTGACGGAAAGCGCGAAACACAAGATCCCCGGTTCCCTCAAGACCATTCAATTATTAAGACGAGTATGTGGGTAACCAATGAATACCTGGTTATTCGTCACTTCGTCAGATAATAGATGCGCGCTGTTCTGATATATCAAGCATCGAATAATTCATTTGTCACTTCGCAAGAAACAGTTTTTTCAACATGTGCCGATTCGTAACTTAGTGGGTGTTTTCATTAATTTAAAAACCTACAAATCTGAAAATTCAAATATTTTTAACCTTAAAACTCAATTTAAAAAAAAACCTTCGAAATGGCCCATTCGTCACTTCATCAGATATGCGACGAATTGTGTCATCAGTTAATTATACATTCGATCAACCCCTGATGGTTTATGGATATTGCATAGGTACATGCAGTAAAAGTTTGAGAATTTCATTCAAATTTGGTTTGAGTATTCACTAGAGTTGACAGCAACTAAGTGTGCAGTTACTTTATGAATAAACTTCATGAGTTACAGGCAAATAGACTGCCCCGGAGGCCATCTGGCCAAGCGGCTCGGCCGCCTCAAAAGCATGTATTGTTAATGGATGTCTGACAGAGTAAGTGTGCCGAATTGCAAAAGTTGTCGCTTTTTTATTTTGATGGGAACCTACATAAAATGTTTCGACAATCATAAATATTTGGTTTCTACAGCAAGCAGACATACTAAATTTACATGGGGTACAGTTGCTATGTTCAGTACCCGTTTCTTTCAGGAGTTGTGGTTTGAGTCAGTAGAGAATGTATGCATTAGCCTGTACAAATCTGTGTGTGTAATACAGTGCAGAGTATTTCAATGCTGGTCGTTTGTATGGAGGATGGCAATTTACTTATTGTAATGAAGACCCGCAGAACATTACCTGTTGTAGTTGAACCAGGGCTATTTACATCTGCTACATTCCTGAAATTATAATATTTACCCAGATCATAAAACCCGTTTAAAATTGAATTAACTAGTAACGTTGGTGTGTTATCAGTTAATCTCACTCAACGTATTTCGGCATGGGTAGGCCTACATCGCGTTATGGGGAAGTTTTTTATCGTTAGGCAAATTAGGACCCAGTTATGGGGACTTTCTTCTGTCCCCACAGCGTTTTCGGTCCCCACAAAATGTGTGAGTAGGCCTACGGTGTACACTCCAGTAATAATGTCGGAGAAATCCAATGATAAACAGTGAAGAGAAAAGCGTTGAATGTTTCTTCAACCGTACAACAGTTTTTTCTGACAATCTGTTAAAAGATTGAAATGACCGTAAGTTCTAAACATTCGGCATTCAATTAAAAAAATTGATTTTGCTACTGATGTAATGTTGTAAAATATATAGTCATCACTGTAAGCAATGTTACAATGATTAAAAAAAATCCATAACTTTTATGGATGAAATGTTTTAACTATTAATGAAGCATATTTTGTTAATCTTACCCTTACTCCCTAGTGGGTATGCAAAATCATATTGAAATTGGAGGAGTACATTGTATATGAAACACAATTGCACGTGACTATGTAAATATTCAATTTAAAGCTTTGTACATTTTGTATGTTTTGCTAATTCCTTGGATCACAAAATTGACGACTTATCACACGAAACATTTGTGCAATGTCCACTTTGTTCTTTCGTAGTTAATGCAGACAGACTGCATGTTTGAACTCTGAACTTGAATCAATAGCATTTGTATTGTTGGTACGGGAACATTTATGTATGACATTGGCTTTTTTTTCCCCTTGGTTACATTTTTTCTGTCAATCCCTTTTTTATACCTTAGTTTTTCTCATAATATTCTCCTAAAATTGTATCCAATTGTTTATTTTTCTCCTGGGCAAATTCCTTTTTGAGTTTCTTAATTCGTTGTTTGATCCAGATTGAGATTTCTTTGGAAGTATTTGCTATTTAAGGATTTAAATTAGTTTTGCATGTGAAGGATTTTTTTTTTTACTGAGACTAAATTAAATTTTTGAGGAGTTTATTTTGTTTCCTTGATTCTTTTTCCTCTTTGTCCCAGTTTCTAAAAGTAAATTGCAACCTAATCATTTGAACCAGGAGTTTTGCTCAGTGAGCCTTTTTCAGTATCTACACCGCACAGCCAAAAAGACGCCACGACTAAAAACACTATTCAAGGCTGACAAAGCAAAGTTCTATGCACTTAGCAACCAACCTAGCAAGAGCAGTGTGTGCAGATGCACATGTGTTTTGCGTGTTGCACGTTATGTTCCCATGCGCTTCAAAGTTAGGTTCAAACATTTCATGAAGGGGTAGTTTGGAAAAGTGCCAGGAAATTTTCAATTACTTTTGTATTGAAATTGAAGAACGTTTTTATGAGATTTCGTTTAAATTATTCAGTTATGTCTCAAAAACAAGCAGTATCTGTGGGTGGGGCGTTATAGAACAAATACTGACTGCTTTAAACTTGTAGTGTAGTAAAACTAGCCTCCCTCGGTGATCCATGGAGCATTCTATTGCCCTGGGTGTCACCTCTGGAATAAAGAACGCTGCATGGATCATCTCAGGAGGCTAGTTTTACCGCATCAACCAGTCATTTGAGCATTTTCCCCATTTGAAGCAACAAAGACAAGTGCATAACAACAACCATGATGAAGTTTTAGCTCTAAACGCTGTGTATTCAGAGGAAACACTAATATGGGATCTCAATTTCATTTCAAAAATTACTGAGTCTTACGGGGGTGATTAAAAAAAACCCTGTGAGCCCCCCCCCCCCCCCCAAGCCAAATCCTCGGTGCGCCACTGCCTATTTGTAGGCATTTTAACAGTTATACTCAATTGTATCACCAAATGATCAAATTATTTATAAGCAGCAAAAGTTGCAATGGATCGTCTTCCGTGGTTATATTATACGTGTTGTACAAAATGAAGGCTAACTCCATGCAAATATCTCACTGTAAATGCATTACATACTGTACTTTCTTATGGAGAACTTTGTACATGAAACCCCATAGACAAATTTGTGACCAAATTGGGATCCTGTAAACATGAGAATAGCAAATCAACAGCCACACATTTTAACCAATTGCTGAGAAGGCTTGGAGGGGCAACCAGCCAATAAGAGATCTTGTTCTGTGACACTTGGCAAGGCCTGGCTATGGGCCAATGAGAAGTAGGGTTGGTTCTTTACATCCTAGAAGTAGAAAGTTTAGGTGGGAAGGAAAAATTGCTGGGCAGTCACTTTTGTCTCAGCCTCTGAAGAAACAAATTGTATAGTCAATTTTACCTCACAGATTGTAATTCTAACTACTCATTAAATTAATTACATAATGTTGCACACTGTGCTCTGTCTAACCTAAGTATTATTTAGAAAATCGTAATGGCAGGAGTAAAAAAATCATTAATGAACCATGGGGTGTTTTATCCGCTTCAAAAAATGCCACACGCGCAGGGCCTTTGTGGGTGCCCAAAAACCTTTAGAGCTATGGTCTCCGAGTCAAATGGTGCTTGGATGAGCTATTGGTGATCTGGGCCTTTGTGGTGCCCAAAATTTGGAAATTAATAATAATAATAATGTGCTGCATGCATGATGGGTCGGCTGCCCAGATTTCAGTCCCTGACATTTTTTGAATAAAAACCTTCTGGCTGAGGCGTGCACACACAAAGGTTTCTGTGTTGCTTGTGATTTTTTATTTGTCTGCTTATAAATGTAAAGGAGTTATACCAATGCATGCAGTGGTGATATTTGTGCAATGTCCGTTTTGTGCTTCAGTGAGCAGAGGTAGGTTTGAACTGTAACCAAGAATCAATAGCTTTTACAGCATTGTTCACATGTATAGACATGTATTGAACTTGAATAAAGATCATAGTACTGTGTGACAAAAATAGCGACTGGTTTTTCCTGTGTTGAGTGAAGGAGTGAGCTGTTGTTGCACCATTCATTGATTGAGGAAGTAGGCCTGACATGTACACGTACAAATCTAAGGCTACATACAAGTTGATGGTAGTTTTGCCATACTTTTTAACATTTGGCGGAAGTATCATGTTTGTGGTGGAAAACTTTGGCTAACTGTTGATACAGATAAAGTAGGTGAGTTCTGGCATTTTGGCTGGATTTTACATGGTCTTGCTTTCGTGTGTTTTGCTTTGTTTTTGAACATGTGAAATGTAGCCTATATATAGGCCTATACCAGGAAAATTATGCATGAGATTTGCACGAATGTTTAGCATTTCAGTGCATGTGATGCGCAAGTAGGTATGTTTGTCATAAACATGATACTTTTAAAAAATATCAAATTCTCTTTTTGTAATCAAAGTCTGAAATCAGAGTCTATGTCTTTGGTCCTTTTTACATTAAGGCCTACTTCCATGTTATTATTTCTGCATAAAGGTATCGGTCATATATCAGTACTACCACATCGGTGCGGCAATGTGGCTAAAAAGGGTGCATACAGTGAGCTCTTTAGCTATGTGGTGAAAACTGCAACTTTTGCAAGCATCATAAAACGTGAAATTGGTTTCAGTTTTCCATGCATCCTGTTTTTCATTTTGAAAATTTCCTACTGACATTCGAAACATTTCTTTTGCATAGACTTAGAAGTTAAGTAATTTGCAAAGTTGTTATGGGTACTCAATTCCATAATCTGGAACCGGTTTCTGACATTAACGGTCGGGTACTCGGGTGTTCCGATGCACACCCCTATGGGGCAATCACCTGTTTGTTATAATTTTGAACTTTTTTAGACACGGATATTTGGTCTGTTTTGATTAGGTCACACTTGCAATATGGCGGAGGCTGCAGCCAAAACTGTGTGGAAGATCAGCCAGGGGCATCTGGAATGTCCGATCTGTTGCTGTCTTTTCAAGGATCCCAAGATGCTAGACTGTCTTCACAGCTTCTGCCTGAAGTGTCTGGAAGAGATGATGAGCAAACAGAAGCCAGAGGCAGAGAAGATAACATGTCCAGTCTGCAGGAGAGAGACCCAAGTTCCTGATGGAGGATTGCAGAGTCTAGCTTCGTCTTTCTTTCTTAGTTCTCTTGTCGATGAGGTCAAACAACAGGAGGCGGTATTAGGAGAAGCATATATGCCTACCACCACATGTGACTGTGGAGAAGGCAAGGAGGCCACTTGGAGGTGTCTTGATTGTAGTGATAACCTCTGCCAGGAATGCCGGAAAGCCCATGGGAGGGTCAAGTCCACCAGAGACCATCAAATTATTTCATTGGGAGACTGGCAGGAATCAAAGATGCCACCAGCAGAACATAGCAAACCCATCACCCGAATGTGTACGATCCACACTGACCATCCTCTGTGTTTCTACTGTGACACCTGCAACACCTTAATCTGCTCGATGTGTGCCACATTAGATCATCGGTCGGCAGAGCACAATTTGCTAAAGATTAATGACCTGATCAGGTCCTTCCGCAGTGAGGTCGAAAACATACTGCAGAAGTTCGAGAAGAGCAGGTAGCACTTCAAATCTACTGAAAAGTCAATCGAACATGCACGAAATAGATTGCAAAAGAAACTGGCTCAGGCTCGTAGTGGTATTGATGCAAAAGCGGAGGCAGAGATCGCTAAAATCAGAAACAAAGCAAAGCTTCTCACCGACAAAGTCAACGAAATCGGTCAGGAGAGAGACAGTGAGTACGAAAAGGTGCTCACGAACAACCATGAACAGATGGAACGCGCAGATCACACCATCGCGGCCGTAAATGACTTGATGAGTCAAGCCGATGATTGTGAGCTTTTGGAGCTCAAGCCAAAGGTGATGCACAACTTGGAATTCCAGGAGGAACTCAAGTGTGAACCAGCGAATTATGGTCTGTCGTTCATTGGTGTCAGATTTCAAGACGTTGTGAGTGATGCAGATCTTGGGGAGGTCTGTGTCAGCGAAAAATGGCAGTTAAAGGAAAAGTTTGGTAAAAAAGGTACCAATGACGAGGAATTCAAATGCGCCAGGGCTGTTGCATGTTTCACAAACGGGGACATTCTAGTAACTGACACAGATTTGAAACGGTTATCATTGTTTAGCTCCACTGGTCGATATAAAACAGCGGTTGCTGAAGGAGGTCTTATGCATCAGTTGGAAGCTCCTTGGGGCGTTGCGGTGTCCCATGATGATCTGCTTTTTGTCACGGACAAAAAGAAAGTGAAGGTTTTTGACACTGAGCTCCAGTTTGTTCGCGAGTTTACACCTTCGGCTGACGATGCCGATGGGCGATCAAAGAGTTACCTCACTGCTATTGCTGTTGACAGTCAGCGAGTAGCAGTCGCTGACAAGGGGAGAAAGGTCATCAGTGTCCACACCTTGGACGGATCGTTGATTGCAAGCATCTCAAATAACATGGTCGTAAATTTCTTGACAATAAGCAATTTCGGCTGTTTAGTCTTCACACACTACGAAGGCCAAAGTTTGCTGTGCGTTAACTTTAAAGGTAAAGAGATGTTCAGTGTCAAGACATTCGTGAATGGTGAAGCTGCAAAGCCAACTGGTGTCCTGTGCGATGATGATGAGACCATCTGTGTTGTTGTTCATTCTGGAAATCAGGGAGACTGTGCAGTGCAGCGATACGATTCAAATGGTGCACATGTAACAACAGTAGCTCAAGGGATGTACAATCCGTTAGAAATGGCATTCACCCCCACTGGCGACGTAGTTGTTGCTGACCTACACTCTGTTAAGATCTTTGAGCGGATGTGATTTGCCTGATTATGGCCCCTCTGAAAAACTAACCGCTGTACTTGAACCGGGGCTAACCTGTATCAAATGATTTGCCTTACACATTACAATAAGTACGCACGGGCTAGGTGACAAACTTTAATGAGCTATGATATCATCACTTCATCTACATACAGCCAGTTACAGCGCGCAGTGGTTCGGAAAGTAATGAATAATCATTTAGCAATCATGCAGTGACCTGATTTAACTGCATGCATACACAGTAAACAAATGATGATTAGCCAATCAGCATGCAGTATCGTAAAGGAAGAGCTAGCTGCAAGCGTCTGGCGAGTTGCACGCGTGAGCGTGCCGCGAACACGCAAGCCAAAATTGGGTCATCGGTTGCTCATACAGTCGATCAACTTCAGATTGATTAATGGTTGATGAATATTGCATAGGTATACATACAGTCAATTTATGTGAGTTTCATTCAACTTTGGTTTGAATATTCACTAGAGTTGACAGCAACTAGCTGTGCAGTTACTTTATGAATAAACTTCGTGAGTGACAGGCAAATAGACCGCCCCGGAGGCCATCTGGCCGAGCGACTCGGCCGCCGCAAAAGCATGTATTGTTAATGGATGTCTGACAGAGTCAGTGTGCCGAAGTGCAAAAGTTGTCACTTTGAAATTGATGGGTACCTACCTAAAATGTTTCCACAATCGGAAATATTTTGTTTCTACAGCAAGCAGACATACTAAATTTACATGGGGTACAGTTACTATGTTCGGTACCCATTTCTTTTAGGAGTTGTGGTTTCAGTAAGTAGAGGGTGTATGCATTAGCCTATACCCATCTGTGTGTGAATACAGTGCGTATTTTAACGCTGGTCGTCTGTATGGAGGATGGCAATTTACTTATTGTAATGAAGGCAGAACATTACCTGTTGTAGTTGAACCAGGGCTATATACATCTGCTACATTCCTGAAATTATAATATTTACCCAGATTGTAAAAGCCGTTTGAAATTGAATTAACTGGTAACGTTGGTGTGTTTCAGTTAATCTCCCTCAATGCATTTCAGCACGTGCGTAGGCCTACACCGCGTTATGGGGAAGTTTTTTATTGTTAGGCCACTTAGGACCGAGTTATGGGGACTTTTTGCTGTCCCCACAGCGTTTTCGGTCCCCACAAATGTGTGAGTAGTTCTATGGTGTATTCTCCAGTAATAATGTTGGAAAGAGAAATCCAATGACAAATTGTGGAGAATGAGAAAAAGTGTTGAATGTTTCTTGTACCGTATAACAGTTTTTGCTGACAAAATTCACACAATTGAATTTACTACTGTAATGTTGTTAAATATGGCTATCACTGTACATAATGTTATAATAATAAAAAAAGTCCATAACTTTTATGTTAGGTAGGCCTAATATGAAATGTCTGAAATCTTAATGAAGTGTATTTTGCCAATCTTCATTTTGTAAAAGTACATTGTATATGAAGCACAATGGCACGTGACTATGTAAATATTCAATTCAAAGCTTTGTATATTTTGCAAGTTTCGTTAATTCCTTGGATCACAAAACTGTCAACCTATCACACAAATCATTTGTGCAATGTCCATTTTGTGCTTCCGTATCCGTAGTGAACACGGACAGACTGCCTCATTGAACTCTTAACTTGAATCAATAGCTGAATCAATAGCGTTTGTATTGTTACTGGAATAGTGTACATGACGTTGGCTTATAGCCTACATAACGATATGTACATAAAAGTGTACATGTACGTACCGGTCGTGTACAGTGAGATTAGAATAGCAACTGGTTTTTCCCATGATGAGTTATTGCCATTACTATCTTTAAACCAAGTATGCATAAACTATAATTTTGTCAGTTACGTTTTTGGATAGCTGCAAATGATTTACTCTTCCTTTAATTACATTTGGCGAGCAAGTTCCTGGTCTTTGTTCAGGGGTTTACCTATTACCTTCATCAGCCGGTCAGTATAGAGTACCAAAGTCTGACGTCAGCTGAATTTGTTCTGATTCACGCGCTGGTTTGTGCACTGATGTCTCCACACACTTTAGCTATGCGGGAGACCCAGAATACGCGGCACACTTTGGTACTCTATGCTCTTTGAGGTATGGTGGACCCAACTCGAGGGCGCTAACCTAGTTAGTCTAGGTAAACCCTTTTGTATTTACCCAAATTTTACCAAGACCGTAAAGCATCCACCTGATGTGTCTGTCTTGTCTCATTAAGGCTAATATTGTCTACACATGGTTTTCAAATCTATATACAGATTGAAGGTGCTCAATTTTAATGAACCTATAAGTTTCAAAATTTCAAAATTATTATATCTCACCCACAGATTCTATCTCTGGCATTCACTTTTTTTACTGTCTTGCCACGTGCACATGTGGCAGGGCCAAGTTATACTTGTGATTTTTCATAGTGTATTAAATAGGAGTAGCCCCCTTAGAAAAGAAAATCATTTTAGTCAAAGTTTAGTCCCCCCCCCCTTTCTTGGTAGTGTGTCCCCCTGTTTGTTTACTTTAGCCCACTTGTTCCCCCTATAAAGTTGCCACATGTTGAAACCTCATATAGATTAGTTCAGCAGACCAGCAGAGAGACAAGTTAACATTTTCCTCCTTCCTGGAGAGTGTTTTCTCGCTTGGGTTTGTCTGCTTGTCCAGTCATTGGTTTTTTTAGTTCATCTTTGTGCTTTTAGAGTCCCTTTGCAGTAGTGCTGTGTCGGTTTTTCACACGACTTTTTTTCCCTTGGTTAAATTGTATTTCTGTCAATCCATTTTTTTTATACCTTAGCTTTTCACTTATTGTCCTAAAATGTTATCAAATTGTTTATTTTTCTCCTTGGCAAATTCCTTTTTGAGTTTTTTTATTCATTGTTTGATCCAGATTAAGATTTCTTTTGAAGCATTTGAGAAATTTGTCTGTTTTCTTGAAGGATTTAATATTTTTTTTTGCATGTCAAGGATTTTATTAAATTATGAGACAAAATTAAATTTTTGAGAAGTTTATTTTGTTTCCTTGATTCATTTTCTTCTTTGTCCCAGTTTCTAAAAGTAAATCGCGACCTCATCATTTGAACCAGGATTTTTAGTGAGTTATTTTCGCTGTTACACACAGCCACCCCCCAAAAAAGTCTATTCAAGGCTGACAAAGAACTATGCACGTAGCAACCAACATATCAACAGCAGTGTGTGCAGATGCACATGTGTTTTGCGTACTGCATGTTTTTTTTTTTCCATGCGCTTCAAAGTTGGGTTCAAACATTTCACGAGGGGGTAGTTGGAAAAGTGCAAGGGGCAAGGAAATGTTCAGTTACGTTCATATTGAAATTGATGTACTTTGCAAGAGATTTGGATTAAATTATTAAGTTTTCTCTCAAAAACAAGCAGAATCTGTGGCTGAGGCGTTATCAAACAAATATTGACTGCTTCAAACTTGTAGTGAAACTAGCCTCCCTCGGTGATCCATGGCTCATTCCATCTCCCTGGGTGTCACCTCAGGAATAAAGAACGCTGAATGGATCATCTCAGGAGGCTAGTTTTACCATTCCAACCAGTCATTTGTTCCTTTTTTTTTTCGCTTGAAGCAACACAAGTGCTCAAAATTTAAGGACGGGTGCTTAACAACAAACTTGATGAAGTTTTAGCTCTGTGAATGCTGTGTATTCAGAAGAATCCATCTTCTAGGATCTCAATTTCAATTCAAAAACTGCCAGGTCATATTTTGAATTGCACCCAAAATCAGCATCCGAGCCAAGTTCTCATTCAGCTGATTG